CAAATAGCCTTGGAAACGTATAGATCCATCTTCTCCCCATCTATGGATTAAATAGTAAAACGTGTATTTGGAAAAATAATTGATCATCTCACTAATTTAATGCATTATTAACGCAAGAAATTATTATATTTTTATTATAATCTAAAATAATTTCAGCTGTAACTCTCAAGATCCTTGACAAAATTCAGGATCTGCAATTTAATCGATCCTGACCTGCCATCTTAACTTTAATAACTTTCTCGCCGACGTGACTTAACTTCCTACTTTCCTTTCTACAAATATTTTCATGGCAGTTGTTCTGATGAGATTTCCTCCTTAGTGTCTCGACTGAGTGAATTAAGTCTAACTGTTTTTCGGTTGAACTGGCTAGAGGCAACCGCCGTTTCTATTCTAATATTTCATTTTCTCGCACTTCTCACTTGTGGAACTCTCTCCCGATCTCTTGCTTCCCTGCCACCTATAATCCTCAAACATTTAAGTGCAATGTCAATCGCCATCTTCTGACTTCCTGAACTCTGTACTTTTATTGTCCTTTCTACACACTTCCTCGCAATAACGTTTTCTAATTCTCTTTAACTTCCTGTAACCTCCCACTCTGCGTTCTAGTAACATTTTTGTCTTGCGTGAAATCATTTAAAACTCACAATAGGGTTTATAGGCTTTAAAACAAATCACTCAGTAAATCACGCCATTTTGGAAATCTGGATTTTTGGAGCAAAATGGAGATTTGGTGCTGCATATTAAAGGAAATTCCCGAGTGATATACTAAAATGTAAACGCAATCATCTGGGGAACTTTATAACAGCGTTTTATTCAAAGGTATGGATTATAATAATATAAAAACAATAAACCCTTGAAATGTGACAGATTATCTAAAATTTTGATATGGATGGGCAAAAAGTTATTAGAAAACTGGAAAGAAAATCCGATAGAAATTTGATCAGACCGCGCTTGTTTGGTAAATTCTTTGGTAAATTCTTTTTTGATGCCTAAATATTGACAATATTTATACCGAATGTTCGTAATTAACACTTTTGCTGAAGACATTCTGTCGGTTCAGACGTTCACCTGGTCAATGATCTTGTCAATGCAAAGTATCACAACGAGGCATTGTAGATTTGGTCAGTAATTACTTTGTCGGCATTATCGATAATGTCGAAAACATACACACAAACACACACACACACACAGAAAGAGAGAGAAAGGGAAAGAAAGACACTCAGACACACACTATACAGAAAGAGAGAGAAAGGGAAAGAAAGACACTCAGACACACACTATACAGAAAGAGAGAGAAAGGGAAAGAAAGACACTCAGACACACACTATACAGAAAGAGAGAGAAAGGGAAAGAAAGACACTCAGACACACACTATACAGAAAGAGAGAGAAAGGGAAAGAAAGACACTCAGACACACGCTATACAGAAAGAGAGAAAAGGAAAGAAAGACACTCAGACACACACTATACAGAAAGAGAGAGAAAGGGAAAGAAAGACACTCAGACACACACTATACAGAAAGAGAGAGAAAGGGAAAAGAAAGACACTCAGACACACACTATACAGAAAGAGAGAGAAAGGGAAAGAAAGACACTCAGACACACACTATACAGAAAGAGAGAGAAAGGGAAATAAAGACACTCAGACACACACTATACAGAAAGAGAGAGAAAGGGAAAGAAAGACACACACTATACAGAAAGAGAGAGAAAGGGAAAGAAAGACACTCAGACACACACTATACAGAAAGAGAGAGAAAGGGAAAGAAAGACACTCAGACACACACTATACAGAAAGAGAGAGAAAGGGAAATAAAGGGAAAGAAAGACAAGGGAAAGACACACACACATATACAGAAAGAGAGAGAAAGGGAAGAAAGACACTCAGACACACACTATACAGAAAGAGAGAAAAGGGAAAGAAAGACACTCAGACACACACTATACAGAAAGAGAGAGAAAGGGAAAGAAAGACACTCAGACAAACACTATACAGAAAGAGAGAAAAGGGAAAGAAAGACACTCAGACACACACTATACAGAAAGAGAGAGAAAGGGAAAGAAAGACACTCAGACACACACTATACAGAAAGAGAGAGAAAGGGAAAGAAAGACACTCAGGCACACGCTATACAGAAAGAGAGAGAAAGGGAAAGAAAGACACTCAGACACACGCTATACAGAAAGAGAGAGAAAGGGAAAGAAAGACACTCAGGCACACGCTATACAGAAAGAGAGAGAAAGGGAAAGAAAGACACTCAGACACACACGATACAGATGGTGGACGAGAAAGTCTGTAAACTAAAAAGGAATTGTAATCTAAACTTTTATTTCTATATTGCATGAGATGAACGTAGAAGCATTAAGCTTTTATGAAACGAAAAAAAAATATTTGAAAACGTGAATACATTCCGAACAGAGAGGTTTTATACTTAAACATTGGCTGTTTTTTTTTTTTTTTAATATTGTTAGGTTGGGACGGTGATAGTTATTGAAATTTAGGTCGCAATGACCATCTGTGTTTGGTGTATAGTGTTATTGAAAAGTGACTGCTGTTTATACGGACATTTGAATCCAGAAAAAGGAATGGAATGGCGAATTCAAAGACATTTATTCAATTACATTTTCAATAGGAATTACCCACTTAAAACTGTCAAAAACTCAATCATTATGGCTTCCAAACAAAATAGAAATACTCTTCTAACCTATGAAACAAAAAAGAATAATTCAAGAATTCCCATTGATTTTTATTTTAATTATAATATTAACAAACTTTTATCTTACATATTTCCGGTATTTAAAACTCAACAATTAAAAATATATCTAACAAGATTCCACTAAAAGTTAGACATCAACCGCCTAGCCTACACACACTCCTAACATCATCTGGCGTATATAAATCACTACCACAGCAAGGGAACATCACGTGCAATCAACCCCGAAGCCAAGTTTGTAAATATGTGACCATTGATAGCATTTTCATACCCGCGCTCCCACATAGTATTCAGATCAACGGCTTTGATTTGTGACAGTCCAAATCTTATATATTAACTTTTTGTCACAAATGCAAAAACGGAAATTATTTTGAAGAAGCAAGAATTTCGTCCTCGGTTCAATGAACATAATAAAAAAATCAGTCAACAACAACAATTTCTCTGTCGCTGCACACTTCAACAACCGGATCACAGGATTGATAGCATCAGATGCGTGCTTTTAACGTCTTCATTTAAAAGCCAACAAGAAAGACATAAATCGGAGTTAAAACACATTTTCAAATTTGAGTCACATATTAAAGGATTAAACAGGAATTTAGGTTTACTCAGGGAATAGAGTTTCCACATGGAGCCTTCTACAAACACACCACAACCCCTTATGTGGCAAACTACTAGTCTAAAATCAATTTTCTTAAACAAAGGGGAAAAAAATAATAAAACAAAGCAAAAACAACAAAATTATGTGCACCTTCCTTCTTTATTTCTCATTTTGTTGAACAAGTACACAGACGTGTTCGAAAATTTCAACTTTCGCTTTCTGCTTCGGATTAGTCAAAAGGATTACAAATATATTTGATAATATTTTGCGTTTGTTTATTCCTCTAATTTCATTACCCGGCATAAATACATACATATATATATATATATATATATATATATGTGTGTGTGTGTGTGTGTGTATGTGTGTGTGTGTGTATATAAAAATGGTTCCAAAATATTTCCAATAAATAATGATTAATGAATGACTAAATAAAAAGTGGCATCTTTCGTTCCGTGAAAGATCTTTAAAGTAATTGTGACTTTACTGGCGGAATCAGCATTATGTATAAAAATGGAACAGGTAGGATATATATATATATATATATATATATATATATATATATATATATATATATATATATATATATATATATATATATAGTAAGGTTAAATACAGATTTCAACACTGAATGGTGAGAGTTTGTTTCCTGCTTGAACACAATATTCAGGTAATGTTGGCTAGTAACACAACTATTTATTTTATGTCCTTGTGGTATTATGGGTAGCAATGTCACTTATTTAGGGTTTAGCTGATATTTTGACGGGCTTTGAATAGGCGGGGGCTATTACTTTCAATTATCTTCATGTTTATTTATTAGATCTAATTGTAGTTAGAAAATCACCGATTTCATCGCTTTTATATGTTACATTTTACATCAATTTTATTTATTATTAATTACTTTAGCGTATTTTCTATTCATTCATTATTTATTCACTACTAATTATTATTATTAAATTTATATAGTTGTGGGTATGCGTTTATTCGTACAGATTGTCGATTTATTTTTTATTTCATTTATTTATTTTTTAATATATTTTATTTTTTTGAAGGGAGTTGCTCTCTCATTTGTTTTATTTAAGGTATTCGTTTTCATTAATTTATATTATGGTATTTGCTTTGCATATATATATATATATATATGCATTTTTCTAAATATGTTTTAGACATATATATATATATATATATATATATATATATATATACATGTACCATTGTAAAAAGAAATAAGTTTTAGTGCATGCAAATATGATCCTTCTTTGGGTGAAAGATTACAGGAGGCCATATTGAATTGAGCCGAATTCAACATTGACTGATTCAGCGAATTTTCCAGAGTGGCATTAAGCACTCGCCTTACCGAGATATTTGAATGTAGGGAATCATGGCGTCAAATTTGTCACCTGTATTAACAATGCTCTTCAAATTTAAGTCTTATCACAGTAATCACCTGATGAGCGAACTATTAAAAATATTGAAAAAAATAAAAGATGTTTTAATTCTGCAGCTCCGAGCAAGGTTCGGATTTCTTTATTTTATTTTGCTTGCTTCTTTTGGCTTTTACATCAGTAATTTGCGTTTCGGCACTTCAATGAAAATATCAAACAATAAAAGTGGCGATTCTATGGAATCCTTGAACGAATCTCATTTGATTGATAGGAAAGCTATAAAGAAAATCAAAAGTGGGGCGTTTTATGAGAGGCCGTTGGAAGGAAGAAAGGAAGGGGGGTGAAAAGTGAGAAAGAAAGCGAGAAAAGAAACGAGTAAGGAAAACGGTGGAAGGTTATAGAAGGATGAAGAAAGAATAAGAAAAAGAAGAAAGGAATAAAAAGAGAGAGAGAGAGAGAGAGAGAAGGGGGAAAGAAAAACGATGAAGTCGAAAGAAGAAGGAAAAATTATAGAAAGCGGTAGGAAGAAAATAAAAGGGAGGGAAAGAAAGAAAGAAAGAAAGAAGAAGATGAAGAAAAAGAAGAAGATGAAGAAGAAGAAGAAGAAAGGAAATAGGATAAGAAAATATAGAAGGAAATAAAAAAAGAAGGGAGATATAAAAGGATGAAAGGAAAAGAATAAGGAAAAGAAGAAAGGAACAAAGAGAAAGAGAGCGAGAGAGAGAGAGAGATGAAAGTCAAGAAGAGGAAGAAGATGACGAGAAAAGGGAAGCTGAAGCTAAAAATGTAACTCGAAAGATTTACGAAGAAGGTAAGATAAAAAAGAAAGCAACAAAAGCGGAAGAATGGGGAAAGATGCGAAAAGGCTGAAGAGGGCGAAGGGGAAAAGAAGGAAGTGATGAAAAAAGAAAAGAATGGAAAGATGTAGGAAGGAAGGAAGGAAGGAAAAGAAGAAAGGATAAAAGAAAGAAAGAGGAAGAAGAAAAGTCAAAGAGGAAACGAAAACAGAACATTGAATGGAAAGAAAAAGAATGTAAAGAAAAGGAAAGAAGAAAAGAAAAAAGAGAATGGAGAGAGGAAAAAAGGAAGAAAACTTGAAAGGAAAAGAGTAGGAAGCGTTAGGAGAAAATAACTTAAAAAAAGAAAGAAAGAAAGAAAGAAAGAAAGAAAGAAAGAGGAAAATACAGAGAAGGGAATGATAATGATGGGAGCCACAGAAAGAGAGAAGAGACAAATGAGGTGAGGATGTAGTAAGATACTGGCGAACGAAAAGAGAGAAGAAATGATGAAGACAAAAGAAAGAAGGCAGAGAAAAGAAGAAAAGGAAGGTAAAAAGTAAATAATAAAAGAAGAATAGAATTAGAAAGGGAGGAAATATTAAATTAGGAATTGAGATAGAGATAAAGAGAGAGAGGGAGGGAGAGATGAAAAATGATTGGGCTCTAAAAAAAAAAGCAAGGAAGAAAGTAAGATAATGGTAACAAATTAAGGAGCGATATTTGTGAAATAACAGAGCGAGGAAGTGTGCAATGAAGGTTAACGAAGTAATGAACCAAAGCTAGGAAGAAAGAGAAGGAATTAATAGTAGTAATAGAAAGGAGAGAGTAAGGAAGGAAGTGAAAGGGGAAAAGTAAAGAATGAAGGAAACGGGAGAGAAGGAAGAAAGAAGAGAAAAGAATGAATGAACGGAGAAAGGAAAGACATAGAATTAAGTAAAGGAGGAATAACGAGATGAATGGAGGCAAAAGACGGAATGAACGAAGGAAAGGAAGAAAGACTGGGAGGAAAGAAATAAAGATCAGAGAGGAGAGAATGATGAAGGAAAGGAAAGCGAAAAGGGGAAAAAATAAAGAAGGAATAATGAAGAGAAAGTCCAGGATGAGAAGAAATAGGAAGAAAGAAAAAGGTAGGGTGTTATAAACGTAGTAAGGGCGGTAGGTAGAGAAGAAAGAAAGAAAGAAAGAAAGAAAGAAAAAAAGAAAGAAAGAAAAAAAAGAAAGAAAGAAAGAAAGAAAGAAAGAATAAAAGAAAGAAAGAAAGAAAGAAAGAAAGAAAGAAAAACTAAAAGTAGAAAAGAATAAAGGTAGAAGGAAAACGAGGGTGTTATGGAGAGAAGAAAAAAAAGAAAGGAAGTCGCGGTGAATATGAGAAGGTAGGAAGGAAAGAATGGGAGAAAAGGAGAAAAAAGGGGAATATGGAAGAGAAAACAAATTGGGTGCGAAGAAGAGAAAAAGAAAAGAAAAAGGGAAAGAGTAAAAAAGAAAAAAGGTGAATGGAATAATGCAATAATAATGTGTTTGGAAAGCGAGAAGGTGAGAGAGAGAGAGAGAGAGAGAGAGAGAGAGAAAAAAAAATATAGAAACAGAGCATGCGTAATTGATTAGCATGCATTCGACTGCATCATTCCGTGAGTTTCATCTATTTTTCTTGCCTCAATTACTGACACACCTTTTTCGTCTTTCTAGATAACTACCATAGTCGTGCAACTCAAAGCAAGAAGCGGCACCCGAAAAGTTTGCGTCTACATCGCAAATTGCTGATAAATACGATGGCCACAAAAGAATGTTACGTCACTTAAACTACTTTACAACACGTTTCGCGTCAAAGAATGTTAATTATTTTTCTCTTATATTACAAGCAACAAACGATTTTAATTGCGCAACATCCCTATTCTCGATAGTCGCACCTTGTCTTCACTTTATTCTTCGCATAAAACTGTGGCTAATATAAGTTTTGCAGTGATTTTTTAAACTGTATCATCCCAAGCAAGAGAGTAAAGCCACTAAGACGCAAGAAGTTACAGGGATGGCGGAATTAGGGAAAAAATAAAGAGCGAGAATATAAAGAGTAATCGGGAGGATAGTAGATAGCGATTGACACTGTATTTAAATTTTTACAGATTAAACTTGGCTGGAACGTATGGGGTCTGAAGGGAGTTCTACAAGTGAGAAGCGTGATAAAAAAAAACTGTTAGCAAAGAATTTACGACTACATCTAGACAAATAAACTGTAAATTGATGAGATCTCGCTTTCAGTCTAGTATTGCGCTAAAATGCATACATTCTAGGTACGATATCGAAGAGCGATATTTATTCTGAATTGTGTATAGAAATGTGGCACAAGGCCAAAATTGGGAATGTAAAAAAGGCTACTCTTCTGTTTCAAGTTAGTAACACATTACGGGCAAATCCACCACAATCACTGACTCAAACATACCAAAATATTCCCTACACCAAAACAACGCAGTCCTACCAATCTTAATTACATACACCATAATACCTCAATGTCTCTATGCAGTCCTAAATAGTCCCCATATGTATAGGTCTTGTTTGTGGGTGTTGAGAAATATAATAACAACTTAAAAAACATAGAGAAAAGTGATATCTATTTGCAAAAAAATACAAAATGTGGACACAAGACCAAAATGGGAAATGGGGGAAAAAGGACGGTCTCATTAAACTTAGCTAGCCACAAACACTGACCCAAACATTCAATCAATATTCCTAACACCAAAACAACGCATTGTTACTTACCTTTTTTACTACATCCACCATAATACCTCATTGTCTCTATGAAAGTCCTAATTTGTCTGTTAGTGGGGGGGGGGGTAAAATAAGGAAGAGCTAATCCGAACAATTACCATGAATGTATTTATAGAAAAGCCACAGAGAGGCCACGTTACGGCGGTGAGCAAGTGACTGAAGCCGAGCCGCCAGTTGTGAAATCCTTATTATTCTATTACCGAGCTGCAAACATCAGCGAAAATTAAAAATGAAAGTAACAAGAAAGAACCCCCCCCCTCTGAACGTGTTAAGCGATGGAAACATTTTCTAATTTATTAGACTTAGTTTGTCACAAGATCCCAAGTTTGAAGAACTCAAAGAGGATCGGACTTCTAAATAACAATAGCCAACCCAGACCATCTTACTCCCTATTACCCCATGCAGTAGTGACCGTAATGTGTTACTAACTTGCTGGGTGCTCCACACTTTCGCCCTTGTGTCACATCTAAGCTAAGATTAGAAAATTACCACAACTCCACAAAAAAAAAATGATATTAATCAAGGAATGTTGCTAAAATTTTCAAGAAAAATTTATAACATTAAATAAAACATATCTGGTTTTATTCATTTCGTGGTGAGAAATATTATTATAAGATTTGAGGGGTGTTAATAATATAAATGAATGTAGGTAAGTTAATTTATATACGTTAATACTGAAGATTACCAGGGGATCATACAGTCACAACCTAATCGGGCCAGATATTGATGGCGTGCTTTTAGTATTTTTTTTTCAGGATGGAGTTGCTGGCCACACATGTGTTACTCCGGTGATTTCCAAAGTCTGTAGATTTTTACATGGCAGCGTTGCTTGTTTCACAGTCAATGGATTTTGAATTCTGAGTTTCATTTAACCGTAGATTGAGGAAATCTTGGAGACTTAAAGCGAAACCAAGTTTTGAATAGTTCTTTATATCTATCTATTTATCTATGACTATTTCAGTCTTTTTCTATCTATCTATCTATCTATCTATCTATCTATCTATCTATCTATCTATCTATTTCAGTATGTTTCTTTCTATCTATCTATCTTTCTATTTCGCTGGTAGCGCTGACTTTTTCCCTTTTCTCTTCATATGTACAGACGTGTGTGTGTACCTATATATATATATATATATATATATATATATATATATATATATATATATATATATATATATCGGTAAAGAGTGGAAAAAACATTAAATCTGGTTCGGATAATAGACGATAATAGCGAAAAATTGCACTTACTAAAAAAAAAGAAAGGTAAATGTTAGTCAGCTTCCGATATTCAGGAATCATTTTTTGTCACAATGAAACGAATCAAATTGATTAAAACCAAGGTAGGTAATATATAGATATCCAGAAAATTAGCACTAAATTAAAAAAAAGTACATGAATTGAAAACCGATTCGAAATTGTTGGTCAAATGTCATTTTTTATGATTATTATTAAATGGGTAATTACATGAATTGTATTTAAAGAAACTCATTCTTGTAAAATATCTTGTCATATTGGACATAAATGAATAGATTCATTCGGTTATGAAAATAAGCGGAGTTGAGGAGAGTTGGCATTAGGTCTTTGCCGAACGCTAATCTCTTAGTGCTTGTCGAAATTTCTGCATTCGGGCAGAGAGAAACCCAGACGAGGGTATGACGAAAGGCAGAGTCTCGTCTGGGGAGGTAGACAGCTACCCTGCTCCGTTATTACGGCGAATCTTTACCCGAGCCTTACGGGCTTGGAAAAACCCATATTAAACCGGCCTTGTGCCACATCCCGCTCTGTGAGTAGCTCGAGGAAATACCGAGTTAGCATTAGATCTGTTGCTAAGTGTACCTTCGTGTAGTAAACTTTCTATTTTCATTACTTACCTACGAGCTTACCTTCCATATTTATTTTCCCCAAACAAATCTGCCATAATTTCTGTGATTTTAAAGTAAGCCATTATGATTTCAAAAATTATATAACTTATCTGCAATTGATCTTATTCTCATTGCTGTAATAATACCAAGGTTTTGGCCGATCTATTCTCCGACCTTCGTTAGGCATGCAATCTGTGTAGACAGAAGTGATTTTTTAAAATCATATTTTATTCTAATTTTCCGAGGAGATTCATGACGCTTTGATAGAGTCTAAGGCTCTATTTCTCTCCATATTAATTTCTACACCTATGAAAAATCTGAACATTTGAACGAATTACAAGCAAAACTACAAGATCTCTAATCCGACGGAGTCTTGTAATGAATCTTCAACAGATTAACACCTGAAAAAATTTCCCCTGAAGAAGTGAAATGATTTGAAGAAGGCTGAAGAAGAGCTTGACCGAAACGTTTTCACCACATTAAAATAAAGAAAACAAAGCAATTGTCTGGAAATAATCGGAATGGCAATTTTCAGTAGTGAAATGACAGACAAAAACACCTTTTACTCTCCATTTTATACCTGAGAAATACCGAAGAATGAATATAACGAATTAATATAATAATAATAATAATAATAATAATAATAATAATAAGTAAACATTCCAAAAATGTTGAACATGAGGAAATCAACAATGCCAGTTGTAGTTGGGGTCTTCGGATAGACTTGAAAATGTTCCGATAGGCTCATTGAAAGGAATCCTGATGGCACAAACTTTCAAGAAATACAAAAATTGTACTCAAAAGTACAGCACACACGTTAAGAAGAGCTTTATCTCTATAAAATGTGTGGTCTTAGATTTTTCTTTTTTTTTTTACAAATGGCCGAAAAATCGGCGGATTCGCGATAATTTTCAGCTTGATGTTGAAAATTGTTAAACACTGTCTTTTTTCTTAATTACACTCTTCTCTAAGTGTTGAAAAATATTGAAAGAGTTCAGTCATTTTGTTTTTTACTACTACTACTACTACTACTACTACTACTACTACTAATAATAATAATAATAATAATAAGCGAAAACAAAGATGAAATCAATAGCCTGAAAAACTCTTGGAATATCTCGCCTAATCTTACTAGATGAAAAAAACAACCTCTGATTTCAAATTTTATTCTGGGCAGAATAGCATAAACAAGCCCCCTGCTTATCGTTTGTAACCTAATGTTTCATTTAGGACAGGTCGGCGATTTTTACGCTCTCATGCACCATTTCTTTCAATTATACACGTCAACGAAGCTGTGAAAAATCAGGAACACAGCAGCCTATCAATCTTTAATAAAGTTCAGATGAAACCCTTTTAGTGAATTGATTATGCATTTTTATAATGCCGCAACATAACGATGGACGCCTATTTACTAAGATGGCAGACGTTATATTGACGCCATATTGAATAAAACCCGCGCTTATCATTTAAAGTTTATTATCTATCACATGTTATTATATAATATTTCCAGCGAGCCCGAGTGAATCAACAGCTTCTAGTCAAACATGATCAAGCATGCAGGAGTTAATTGATTAACTAAAGCTTCAAAGAGAATATTTTATAGCACAGTTTTGTCAGGAGAAATCATTTTCAAATCTGATGTCTTATGCTATTGCTTTGATAACGGTGTTTTGTTTTTATAGCGAAGGACACAGCGATCCAGTTTTATTTCTCTGGTACATAAAGTTTATTTTCTTTTTTATTGATTTGAATATGTTATGGTCAGGCATTACTGATTTTACAAGTATAATGATTATTACAAGCTACTCATAAAATATTGTTTTATTGCTTACAAATGTTATATTTGGGTGGTGCAGTAAATGATGGCTTTTCTTACTGAATTAATTACTTTGTGCTTATTAGGTTGTTTAGGAATTAATGTCCGATTTTAAAATCAACTTTTATTCATGGATTAATGTATGTAAACATTAAATTATGAACAGT